GACAACCTGGCAATCTGTGCGGTAGTCATCTTCAGAGTCAAAGTAAGTTGTATGTTGATTTATTGATTTAATGCCTTTCTACATACAAATAAAAGGAAATAACAATAAAATTACATTACATGAAATTCACACGAAACCAAAAAGAAACTCAATGGCGAGGAAGACTCAACACGGGTTTCGGAGTGGACGTTCATGTGTCACAAATCTACTGGAGACCCTAGATTACATCGGTGCTATTCTTGATAGAGCTGGTCAAGTAGATTGTGTGTATTTAGATATGTCCAAAGCTTTTGATAAGGTTAGACATGACCTCCTTATGGAAAAACTACGGGATGCTGGCTTCGGAGGGAACCTGCTCACATGGTTTCACGCGGATCTCTGTGGCAGTCGCCAACGTGTCACCGTACTAGGCGCGACATCACGTGACCTACCTGTCACCTCTGGAGTCCCACAGGGTTCAATACTCGGACCTGCTCTCTTCTTGTTATATGTGAACAACCTTCCAGATTCTATCCTCAATAGCAAAGTGGCAATGTTTGCAGATGACACTAAAGTATACCAGGTAGTGATGTCTGAGGATGATGGCGCCGCTCTCCAACAAGATCTGGAGAAACTGTCTCCATGGACCTCTGACTCTGGCCTAGCCTTTAATGATAAGAAATGCAAGCTTCAGACCATTACGAGGAAGCGCAAGCCCATCTGTACGAGCTACGAGGTTAACGGCAGTACCATCAAGTCCTGTGAGGTAGAGCGTGACCTTGGCGTCTCCTTGGACTGTGACTTGACTTGGCACGCCCAAGTCTCTCACCAAGCTGCACACGCAAACAAGTTGTTAGGTTTCGTTAGGAGGAACTCTAGGTTTATTCACAGTACTTCCGTAAGGCGCACATTATACCTCGGGCTAGTTCGTGCTTATCTTGGCTACGCAACCCAGGTCTGGGCGCCCCAAGGCATTGAACTAATTTCCAAACTCGAAAGTATCCAAAGACGTGCCACCAAATACATTCTTTGCTTGCCTTTTTTAACAAATATCTCTTAAAAAGAAAGACTAATGTCTGTAAACCTACTTCCTGTGTGCTACTGGCACGAGTTACTAGATCTAGTATACTTTTACAAGGCTACGCATAATATGATTCACTTAGATCCGTCTGTTGTTGTCTTCGTGCGCGAATGCGCGCGAAGCACCCGTATATCCGTAACGAGCTCTCAATCTTTTGTGCCTAAAAAAATGCGGGACTTCTACCTTTCAGAAATCTTTTTTCATTAGAACCACTAGAATCTGGAACCTGCTTATTACTAGACTTGACCTAGATAATGTTACTTTTGAGAACTTTAAATCTGTTCTTTACGGTTATTACTCGCGGGCTCTGGCAATAAACTATGACCCGGACTCTCCAAGGAGCTTCAAAAGTACTTGCTTGTAATGTAACACAGCCAGGTTTTTAGACCAAGAAATTAGCTGCTGCATGTGATTTAAATTGCTACTTTTATTTTTTTGGGTCCGCAGTAATTGGCTTTAGCTGTTGCGGTGTCCCTGCCCAAATATTCAAATTATTATTAGTGTATTATTACGTTCTTATTACTAGTGTTTGCATATCTTCAGTGCTTTTTTTTTGTTATTATTCTTCAGGGCAAAGCTAATAAAATAAAATAAAATAAATAAGAAGCCATGAAGTCTTATAGGTGAGACTTCCTCTTTAAATTAGATTTGTTTTTATTTATGAAATATACTTATATAAACTAGGGTATCTAAAAGATATTAATGCTGTGGCACATTCTGTTGATACTGGCATTAGTTAGGCAGTGGGACTTAAAAGAATCGAAAATGACATTGAATGTCCTATTTACATGTTGGAAAGTACTAGAATAATTACTATCAGTCTGTATAAAGAACTCGTGGGAACGTTGTTTAAAAAATGATCAAGTGTTTATCAACTCTGGTTTTCCCACAGTAAATTCTAGGAAATGATAGAATTCAGATTGTTTAACCATATATTTAATATAGGGTGCACTATCTTTTCTCTGGAAACATGATACTTTTCTTACTGTTTATTGCACTTTATTAAAAAAAAAACAGAAAAAAAAAGAAAGAAGGAAAAAAAGAGTTCAGTAGGACTCGAACCCGGCACCGTCGGTTCGAAACGACTACACCTCACCACTACACCACAGAGACTGATTACGTAATTGCGGGAAAAGTCTTTACCTTAATTCCTTTACCGTGAAACTTCCGCCGGCAAGATGATCGCCAGCCACATTAATCGAGCTATTAACAGCAAAAAAACAATGTAAACGCATATTCCATGGCAATGAATGAATGAAAGAACATAATTATGCTTTTCAAAACGCCGATTCACATCCTCGTCTGCAACGTTGGACACAAAACACATGTTTTGTTATCTCGATTTCCGCTGTTATTTTGAAGCGAATGGTCAAAATCACATCCATTTTCGGCTCATACAGGTTCTTAAGAATAGCACGGCATGACATTTTCTCACTTTCACATCACCTTCTAGCAAGCTGGAATTTGTATATCCCCCGTGTTGCGGAGTCGAAGAGCAAATACTCATCTTCTCGTCAGGTTTAACACCTGGACGAGTCAAAGGCTCTTGAATTGAAATTCAATCCCCAAGTTAACCATCGTACTCATCTGAAAGACTCCTGCGTGTCTTAAATTTGGTAAGACCTCTAACCGTGCTGTAGAAAATTTGCTGCAAAGAAAACTCTGAGTCTGGGCAGCGAACGATGCGAACTTCCCCGTGTTTTTATTTGACTTGTTCGTGGGGCAATGCACTCTGGTTAAATGCAATGCATTGTGGTAAAAAGTGATGAATTCGAGAATTCGTCGCCCCTTATATATTTCCCTTAAATCCTGATTATGTTGCTGCTCGCTCCCTACGGTCGCTCCGCAGCAATAAAGAACAGCATACAATGGAGAAATTTACAAGTGAATAGAAAATATAAAGAAAAAGTTGATTGTGTAATAACTAGTAATAAATTACAAACTATTTATTGAGTATTCTGTAAATTTATTAAATATGATTTAAGTAAACCTTTAAAGGTCATTATGTTGTTTGATCTAATTATTGAGTGAGATAAAGAGTTGATGGTATTAAACGCAGGTTGTTGACCTGAGTGGTCAAATGGGTACCCGGACATTGACGGCGGACATCATGAAGAAATTGCAGGTCACTGAGATGAGATGCTTTAGATAACTGCTTGGCATCTCATACAGAGATCACATCACTAACGATGCAGTCAGAGACAGAATCAGACAAGCCATTGGGCCCTATGATGATATCTTAACCACGGTAAAGAAACGCAAGTTAAAGTGGTTTGGGCATGTATCAAGATCATCAGGGCTTGCCAAGACGAATTTACAAGGAACAATGCAAGGAGGGAGAAGAACGGGCCGACAAAAGAAGCGTTGGGAGAACAATATCGCTGAATGGACAGGGTTGAAGTTTTGCGACGCCGTAAGAGAGGCTGAAAACTAAATAAAATCGAGGGAGAGGGTTGCAATGTCCGTGGCGCCCCAACGGTCATTGACTACGGGATAGATGCAGGTGCAGGTGCAGGTCAAATAGGTCGCGATGTTATCGGTCGTCTGTCAGTTAAAACTCCATGTATCCATATCGACCATGTTATCCCAGACTAAGAAAGCTCTAAATGTGCGGACTCATTGGTTCTGAGGCTTCATCAACAAACAATTTAACAATAGCCCACGTTGGATATATTAAAATTCTATTATGACTCCGAGGCTTTAGGGTCAAAATTGCAAATTTTTTACCACTCCTTTGTCTTGCAATTCCCAGAAGAGATTTGAGCACAAAGAATACCAAACTAAACATGGAAAAATGACCGGAAAGCCTCGGAGAATTTTAATATATCGAACGTTAACCTGAGATCAGGCTCTATTTTCGTTTCGCTTTGAAAATTACATTCCGGCGGGCAAGGCGAAACGAAAAGAGAGCCTGATACAAACCTTTAACGAAATGTCTGCCGCCCACTTTTTTGATTGATTGACATTTGCCGAATCAGCCAATCAGAATTACTTCCGTTGCTTGTTTTTCTAGTATGCAAATTTTTCACGTGTGGGAAAAATGCAGACTGGCTGACTTAAAAAATAGCTTTTATCTGTTAATCAAAATGCACCTTGTTAGCGGTCAACAACTTGTAGAGGGATTCAACTCCGCGATACGCTCACGTTCCGTAAATAAAGCATATCCTGAGAAGATATGAACAACCACATGAATTTTCTGAATTTCCATGGCACATATTAAGGCATATTTTCCTACCATAAGACCATAAAACATTAAAAAAGACAGCAAAATCGATACTTCTCTCCACCGACGACGGATCATTCACGAAAACATCCACGCGAGGATTAAGCGCTTTCAACTTCCGGCGTTTCCGACAGCCAATCACATCTTGTGGCATTGTTCTAACAGCCAATCAGCGTTACGGCCAAAATCTGGCCGTAACAAGCACAAACTTGTAATAGTTTGTATCAGGCCCAATTTCAGCGGTAGCCGTTAGAGAGAATGTATGAGAACCGCTCAAATTGGGCCTGATCTCAGGTTAATCGAACGTGGGCTATTAATCCTTAACTCAGAGACGACCAGTAACCATGGTAACATTGCGACTTAATTGACCAATATGGTCACGTCAGAAACTGGAGTTTACCAGTAACCATGGGTAACCACTAATCCACAACAGTCACGGTACAGCTAATAATACCACAACCAGCTAAAAACCACACGAAGACCAACAGAACACCTTCCAAGTCTCCCAATTAATAATAATGTGATTTTTGAGAGCCAAACAACAAAATGGCTTATACCTGTTTCTTTTTCTTTAATTCAAAAAGGCGACGATACAACTTCATACAATTGTGAAAAGAACAATTCCTTAAAAATATGAATATAAATTTCAGATTATACAGTCACACCTCTTCGAAAGAAGACACTAAGTATTGTATTTATGGTCATCACAGAAGAGGCTCGACTGTCAACAAACTAAACTACACTTTAAAGTGGATTTTGCTTCTCTTCACAGAGCAGGAATTCCAGCTGTTACTCCACTTTCGATTCCGCACTCATTTGTGCCTCGGCGAATGTAGAAAAATCCTGGTAATAAAAAATAAATACATAGTTTCTTCAGTGCAAATATAATTAACTTACAGTCAAAACCGGTGGTATTTCAATATTTGAGTGTTACGCTACCAACACAGAAAATAAACACTCACCATCCATTCCCCACGTGGCTCCCCAGGAATTGGCACAAATCTAAAAACAAGGCATATTTTATTATACTATTAGGCAAAATACAGTCGAACCTGCACTAACGGCCACCTTTCTACAACGGCCATTTTGTTTTGGCAGACGGTCAATCCATTCACTCTTGTTTAAACCTCTCTACAATGGCCTCTTTCTTCTGTCCCCAAAGTGGCCGTTGTAGAGAGGTTCAACCGTATTCTTGACGAGATCCCTTCTGTTTTTCATTTTAATGAATCACATTTCAAAAATTGTCAAGTTTTACATATGTTTTGTCGTCAAAATGGCACCTTGCCTTCATTGAAGTTGTTCAAAGGCATAGTAACTGGTAAAGTGGAAAGAAATGTGCATCGTTTGAAAAACGACACAGCTGGAAGATGTGCAACAACACAACACACACAAAAAAGGATTAATTCCTTCTTCCTAACCCTTAAACTCTAACTCTACCTTACGGCCTACCTTATAAGTCAACACACCTTGTATAACTATAATTAACACTACGACAAAAAACCAAAACAAAAAAAAAAAGTCATACCCAGTAATCAACGCCTTCTGAGGACCGACCCCATCTAAAAAAAAAGATTGAAACGATTTCAAAAGAGAATTCATTGCATTACTGATAGCTTAGTAACAGTTACAATCACGAGAAGGTTGAAGGTCACGATCGGGTCTATTCGCTTATGTTCCGTTATATCCACAGCGGTCACAGCCGGCTATCGAAATTCAAGCTTAGCGTTTAGTAACCAGTCGGTTTGACCGATATGAAGCGCCAATGGATAGGCTTGTAGTCTTGTGCACTTCTTCCTGCGTTACTGAATAGGGCCATTTCTACTGGAGACAGAGAACAAAAGGCGCCTCTCAAATAAGACAAAAACTGTACAACAGGTTATACGAGCATATAATGTGCGCCTTATCTTGAACGCAAACATATTTTTTTGTGTCATTTAGTCAAGACGTTTGCGTTTTATTTGCGACGCGTTTTCTAGAAGATGGTTGTTATTTTTGCTCTTATTGATGTTAATACAAACTTTCACGTCTAAGAAAACAGCTCAATGCCAGATCCCAGGGCTCAGCTACGAGTTGACTATCAAATCTGTCTAAAGACTGATAATAATTATCATTTGATTAAGCCGTTGACTAGTTGTTTAATTTGTCCAGTCTGATGAGTCAGTCAGCGTGGGTAGAATTTTACACACACACACAAAATAGAATTTCTTCTTGAAATGACAGTTTGCCCGCATCTTATTCTAGTAGTTAAACAGTTATATAAAAAAATAGAATCCTCTTAACATAAAGATAAAGATTAATTATCATAGCAATAATCTAGCAATAAGTGAACCGACTAACCCGAGCATCTTGATCGCATGTCCTCCAACTAGCTGCCCACTGGTATGAATATAAACACCACTTCGATACAAACAGAAGTCCTGGTACACCGTGAAATCAGCTGAAAAAAGATAGGGTTCCATAATCAGACTTGAAAGGTTTGAGAATTGTTAAACTAAAAAGCTGTTTCACTCAAAGGTATGGTTCCTGGAAGCGATAAGAGTGCTGAGAGGCGAATCACTGACTGTGTACCCGGCCAAGGTAGCGTCAATAACACTTAGCACGAACCTTTAAAGTGTCTCCCAAACCTAAAGGATCTTGAGTAAATAAGGCTCAGCTGATTTATGCGGCCCATTTCCCAACAGCGGAAAAGTACTTGTTTATCGTCGTGGACTACTCAAAGTAACCGGAAGTAGAAATCATCGACAGCTCAGTTGAAAAAGAACTCCTCTCTGCTATGGAAAGAACTTTTTGTACTGAAGGTCTAACAGAAACTTTGAAATCCCACAAGGGTACCCCGTTCAAGGGAAAGCACCTTTCTCATTTGCAGAGGAAACAGGTTACACACCGGAAGATAACGCCACAGTGACCGGAGGCCGCATATGGCCCAACAGAAGTTTTCCACTCCGAAGGAAGAGACTGGTAGGAGTTAGGTGCTATACAGCTTTTTTGGGGGGCAGCTACCGAGGTACACCTCATCCCTAAACCGAGAAAAGAAAAATGAATAGCGCTGCATCGGTATATAATAGGGACATTCCCTAACGACTACGGAAGGGTCTAGTACGGTGACCGGAAGTATTTTTTTCCCGCCACGCGTCAATAGCGGCTATAGCGGTCAAAACGTCGCTTTTTAATAAAAAGTAAATTCTCATTGTTTCATTCTTTTTCGCGATTATTACAAGTCGCTTATTTTGTCAAACGTAGACAAACTCATAGGGGAAAAAAGTTCGTCTTCGTTTGTTTACGTCCTCAATAAAACGTGAAGTTAGGCACTTTCACGTGGTGGTCATGCAGTTATGGCAAAGAAGTGTTGATAAAACAATAAGATGCACGTGCAAAGTTTTTGATTTGCTAATTAAACTTATTGACTGGCCGTACTGCGCTTCCCGAATACGTAGAAGATCATGGCGGGCCGTAGTGTCTTGTACGTTAAGTACTTGGTTGCATTTTGCGTGCTTAGAACGCCAGTGTTCATTTGAAACAGAATCGCAAGATTTACGCATTTTATCCTTTTTTGGTCATCCTTGGAAATCTCTGAAGGTTCATTTTTCACACCCAAGTGGAAAATACAGCCAAATACGCAAAATACAGTTGACGGGAAAGAGGATTTCCTAAGGGATATCGCCCTTTTTTATGAATGGTTTTTTTAACATTTCCTTGCCGTGGGGGGTCACTGCACGGCTTCAACCTCAAGCGAGTTAGAATAATCGCGATAAAGAATGAAAGAAAGCGAATACCTGAACTAAAAGCCTGAACTTTTCAGGCTTTCTTTGACTGAGATAACCTTCTTTGCATTTATTAGCATTAATGTGTAGTACCTTCAACCGGTCCGTTGGTCATAATTTCTGTCTGAATTGCTTCAACCTAAGTAAAAGAAGAGAGTTGTGCTGAAGATCGAGAGCAGCTGGTTGGATTCGTTGCAAACTTACTGTGGCAAACCAGACAGATGGAACCAAAAGAATGTTTGATGATGACAGTCAAGGCAGACAAACAAACAAAAAACCAGACCTACATAATAGTAGCAGGTAGTGCACTGTAAGTTACAAGAAAAACATTGATTCTGTTATTGTTTAGTGCATCGCCCAAAAATGTATTTCTCAAATTAACGAGCTAAACGTTTTGCAGTCGAATGAACTTGTATTACAAATAAAACATTGGGTAGCTGCAAGCAAAAAACATTGAACAGCAAGATCTTGAAGAACTGTTCCTTTGTGATTCATATTTTATAACATTATATATCATTTTATCTTCTAGTTTAAAAAAATAACTATACATGTGATCAAAGAAGGACTTTACATACGGATTGTTTGACAGTATATGCGTTTTCTGCTTTGTAGAATCTGGGTGTTCCGTAGCCACTGGGGCATTGTGTGATAGATGATCCATTAAACCTACAGGTTCCAGTTTTTGCGGTGTACTCACCATAGCACTGTGCAGTCAAAAGGCTTTGGACATATAAACAAGAGGAAAGCAAACTGTGTTACACTAGGCGCAATGGGTACCTCTCGGTTCCATGACAGATAATTTAAGCTAGTCCAGGATTAAGCTAAATTAAGTTTTATTGTCTAGATAACTAGAGCTTTAAAAAAAATATATCGTTGAGCTTTTACCCTGAGATCCAGTCATGGTAACCTCCAAAACTACTATAAACAATCCTTGGGCAGATATATAAATCCGTACATTAAAATTTCAGGAACCAATCCACTCACCCAACTTTGGACATGTACTGCCACGCCTTTAAGGGCCAGCCACCGCTACAGCCATCATTCACTGTGTTACAGTCAACAAGCTGCTGAGCTGACAGCACCACGTTAATTCGATTGCTACTCACAATAGCAAACCTGTCTGAAAGTACTTCTGCATTAATCAAACAAAACATAGAAACAAATTAGACATACATTAACTATGGTTTTTTCATCAATGTAACACAACTTGACCAATATTGACCATAAACCCACCTGAGGCACCAAAGGCCCAACAACTTCCACAATCAAGCTAAGAATGAAAAAAAAAATCGAGCATTAAAAGTTTGTTTATCTACAACGAAATGGTTTGTACTGTGCCTTTGCGTTGATGGTACTTATATTATGTTTGACCTAAAGGCTACTTCCCTGATGTTTCCGGGTTTAGGGTTAGGGTTAGGGCTAGGGTTAGAACAACAAAATCAAACTAAAGTCATCATGAAAGTAAGTCATTGTTATCATGAATAATTTGATTACTTGACACTTTTCTGAGATTTTGAGCCATTCCAGAAACACTGCTGTTATTATTTCTACTACTTTGTACCTGATTTCTAATCGCGTGAATGGAGCCAGGCCACTTTGTACGAGCATCAAAACTGTTGGGAATTTCAGTAGCAACATCCTGTTTAACAAGTTGAGGACGAGAATCTTTGGGCCATGGACCATAACTGCCAAGCATCTTTTTAGCATCCGACCAATCCATGCCAGTAAATTGTTTATAAACAGTTGCCTTCCATCTGCAGATACAAATTAGCATCATATAACAAACAGAAGATCTCCTCAGTACAATAAAATAATTATTAGTATTTAATATACTTACACTGATAATTATGATAATAATAAAACTAACTGATGTTAAGTATGGGATTTTGGTTTAGGTCTGAAACTAATTAAGACATCATATACTGTGGCAGGAAATAACTGTGGTTTGAAATTAAGTGAGGGTATCAAGAACAATGACTCAGAACCCCTTCCAAATTTTCCAGGAGACTATAAACACACTTGGGTTGTAGGGTTACAATTCAAACCTCTGCCGGGGACAATATGCGTCTTGGCCTGATTGCCCACTTTTGGTGGCAAAGTGCCTCTCACGTTTTAGACTGACTGTAAAACAAAAAATTAATATAATTATATTTTAAGGAAGCTTTTTTCCATTTTAACTGCATTGTCTCTCCCTCTCTTTGGCATCCTCACCTTGTATTACTTCATTTTTATTTATGAAGGGAGAACAATACATTTAGCTATGACGTTTATTTTCATTGCACCAATATTTGCAGTTTTGAAGTATAATCTTGTGTACTTTGGGCACCCCTCGGAGTACCGGTCAACACTAAGTCGACGGATATATCGGTTAACAAGCGGTCAAATGACCGTCGACATGTCGAGTGTTATGTCAGCAAATACTCGCCGAAAATATTGGCCAATACGCAGTCGATACTTGGTCGGTATATGCCTGTCGACACTCAGTCGAAATCGCCAGTGTTGCTACCTTTATGGTATGCAGAGCCCAACGTTTTAATTACTTCGGCGGTGTGCGAAGTTAAGGATTCGCGCAGCCCAGGAATGTTTCAAAGTTGCATTTGGATGTCCCGAAGTTGCTTCGGAATTAGCTCGACAGGCAAGTTTGTTACTTGTCGGCTTGTTTTGGGTTTTGACATAGTGACACCGGAATGGGTTGGAGATATCGCAAGATCACTTCTAGTTGTTTCGGCTACAATAAATATTTGAGGCGGAGCACAAATTATTCAAGGATTTGCGACGCTAAAGAATATCGTAAACTTGCAGTTTGCTTCCGAAGTGAGGCTGGATATCTCGAAATCAGTTTTAAGTAAGTCAAGATTACACAGTTACATGCCTTCATGGAAAAAATTTGGGGGACAAAAATGTGTATAAAGTTTGAGAGTGAAGAGATTTTGATCACTGGAGATTATTGCAGCAAGAGTGATTCCAAAGAGGAAGATCGAGGAAAAGGTACGGTCGTTTGCGTTGCGTGAAGACGAAGTGATTCAGAAAGCGACAAATTGTCAACAAGGAGAAGCAAAACGCGGTTACCGTGGTTTCGTAACCGTTGTGATAAGCATCATTATCATTGTTCTTCTTTTAGTGTTGTTTGAAGAGTAGGTGTTTTTATACTTGTTTTTGTATTGTATGTTATTGCTTTTCACAAAGTTTATGTTGCGATGTTGTGGAGATCGTGCAGTTTTAGCTAGTTTTGTAATGGGCGGAGTGTACTGATGTTAGTCACGTTGCTGGAGAACGTGTGGAGGAAACTGTATATAAGAGAAGTGTTGTTGTAGAGGAAATAGGGGAAGTGGAACTGAGATCTCTTTGTTCCCCATTTTTTTTATCGGTTATGACAGAAATTATAATCGAAACGTGGAATTTGACGAAAAGTAATAGCATACAGGTTCTTCATAACAGAATATGAAACAGGATATTAGCGGAGATGACCCCTCCTACTAGCAGACTTTCGGTGAAGAAGTTAAGACGTCTGTTACTCAAAGGAGAAAAGTAAGGGTATTTGTACGAAAGGATATCCGGAAAAATATAATTTCTGACTATTCCTCCGCATTCACAATTAATTCCACAACCACGACGCCAAAGTGCACGCTGACATAGCGCCTTGTTTACCAAAAAACTCGCGCGGAGACTGTCACTACCGTCTATAGCAAGCGTCTTCGCGCGAGTTCGTTAAGAATTGCCAAACAGACCCCAAGGACACTAGCAATACTCTAAAAACCCTCAAAAAACGCTGGCCTGTCGATCGATAAGTCGACGAATTATCATACCAACCAACACGATTGGTCGACATATCAGTCGATACGCGGGCGACCCAAAGGGAAACCTGAAGACCGACACTCGACCGCCTAAAATACAGTAATAATGTTGGCAGAGACATCGATGAAGAGTTGGCCGATATATATGTCGGACAACATGTCGACCGATACTCGACCGTGGGGTGCCTTCAGTGCACAAGACCCTTCAATTCTTGTTCTTGGCAAAGGATATCAGAGCAATCCTGCATGTCCTGTCATCCTGTTTACCGATCTTTTACAAAATTTCCGTATATGACAATGATAACTGCATTAACGTGTCAGCAGTAGTTTCCTGTTTTCTGGAGTCTAGTCATAAGTATCAGTATCAATATCTTTAATCTGATACCGCAGAAACGTTTTAAAAATCAAGGCAAATGGCATGTCACAGTTTGCTGGGCGGAACCTCCAAACAGCTTCAGTGACTGTTAACAGGGCAGCCGGGGAAAAACTGAAATTTTCAATATTTGACAAGATTGAGAATAGGGACATGTTAATATTTAACATTCCATAATATTGAACTCTCCACTGGGTACGTTTGACTGCGTGAACATCATGCAGGGCACTAAACTAAGCACTTGGAGTTTTGATCAGCAGAGACTATTTTTCATCAGCCGAACCTAATACTGTATACATTGAATTAAGTACATGAAAATTTCGGCGTCTGAATCAATTAGCAACGCCTGTTTCAATTTGGAACGGCTCAGCCGTTCTTTTCGCCAAGCCCGGCCGGGAATTTCGCCTTTGAAGCGACTTGGAACGGCTTTGATTCAGACGCCGAACTTTTCATGTACCGAACCCAATGCATAAATTATTATAACGTATTTTGTAAGCAGTTTTACCATTTTCGCCTATTGAATTTAAGATCGGCGTCTGAATCAATTCAGCCCGTCTAAATAATTTGGGTCGGCCTTAATTCGAATTAGGTTCGGCTCATGAAAGGTTCGGCGTCTAACTAGAACTAAGCCTGCTTAAACAAGCCATACCCAATGTTCATGGTGTTGATCTCTTCCGCCATTTCCAGTGAGGAAACAATAAACTTTTCATTCTTCTTCCCCGAAACGCTACTGCAAACTGACTCCAACAGAAGCAAAACAATTATTCGATGCATTGTTCTTGAGATCGCATGAGCAAGCTAACTTTGCAGGAATAGCTGGCAGTGCTCGGCAGTCGGCTACCGGTTCGAACTTGTCGGTATAATTATACCGTAAAATTCCGAAAATAAGCCCCTCCATGTATAAGCCCCTCCAAATATAAGCCTTCCAAACCCGTAACGTAAAAACCCCTCCGTTAAATCGCCCCTCCAAATATAAGCCCCCCGGGGGCTTGTAATTGGAAAACTGCCCTCGAATACAAAGAAAAACAAAGCAAAAACGGTAAATTTACTTCCAACTATAAGGCTAGTCCAATCGATTTTGAGACGCAAATTTCCCTCCGTACATAAGCCCCTCCAAAAATAAGCCCCTCAAAAAAGGGCCTTTGAAAAATATAAGCCCCGGGGCTTATTTTCGGAATTTTACGGTATTTTAAAAGATAAATGCTGAATCACGAGGTGGTCATGTTACGGCTCGGGGCTGATCATGTGAAAGTCACAGAGGCGGAAGATAACGACGTCACGCTTGAACGTAACCTTTTCCATTGCGGGGGAGGGGGAACCATTCATTCAATAAATCAATAAATTCAAAACTTCAACCCAACTTTATTCGAAATATATTTGTAAATACATGACACAAAGAGACTGGTCCGCAGGTAGCATTTGCTAATCTCCGCGGAACAGTCACACTAATTAAACCTACTCTGAAATGTCTAACTACATGATGCGTACAACAACGTTTATTTCGCAGTATCATTTTCATAGATGGTGTTACATAAAAAGGAATAATAACATAAACATAAAATACATTAATAACTAGATAAAAAGAAAAGTGATCATAATGAAATGCGGAAGACCATCAGGAACAATAATTTATGAAGTCTTTTAAAATTTTTCTTCTCTGGAACCCTTCAAAATGAAATAACCTAGGTTTTTTTTACAAATGAATGGGTCTACATCATTGAAAGGAAACAATGTTTATCTATTGAATTGAGATTAGTAAAGTTCGGGCATTTAAAAGTAATATCAGCATATACTTTTTCTCTTACGTGGCTGTGGAGTCTACAAGATTAAAGGTGAAGTTCTCTTTGTTCTCAATTAGATGAACGGTGTTGATATATTCTAGCGTTTTCGGGAATTTTTGGGACACTGTGTCTACTGGTTTCAATTCTTAAATCATAATTTCGCAACGGATTGTCTGTGTTGCCAGTTTTTTAATTAGATCAATCTGAACAGAAGCGTCTTGAGTCATTTTAAGAGAGGAGTAAAATTGGAGTTTCTTATTCGAGTGAATCAATCGGTCTTGGTGAGTTCGCAAAGTGTTGATTATTTTTTCTTTTATTTTGGGTAAGTTGCTTTGGACATTTTGCACTATTGTTGAATCAGTGTAGTTCTATTCTACCTGCAAAACCATAGAGTTGTAGAATTTCAGTGACAAAGTTCATGAAGGATTGTTTTTTTGGCATCAGCTAGTTAAATCGAGAGTTTGAGACACTGTCTCGCAATATTATTTTCCCGACTATTTTCTGGAAGATTCTGTGAGATGCATCCAAAATAAATGTTTAAGTTCAGAGACAGCCTTTCCATTTTGATTCGAGATGCCACATTTGGGGCCCTTCTGTTTAAGCCTAAAAGGTGTTTCTAAAATTGCTAAGAAGTCTTTCCACGGTATCTTTTTCCCATTCCCCGAGTCAAGGTTATCATTATCACACTCCCCAAACTTCCGAACTGTACAAGAAAGAGTATGGGAGGGAAGAGGGTATCAAAAAGTCGGCAAGATTCCGTATAACCCCATAAATAAATTATGCATAAATCTATTGTTCAAGAAAAACAAAAGTCAGAACAATACTAAGCCTTTGGGGTTTCAGTTATTATTGTAAAAGAATTTAACAGTTTTTTTCTAAGTCTTTTTGAAACGCCCCAAATTTAACGCTTTCTGTACTGAAATAAGCACTTTTTGGAACAAATTTCAAACTATTTACGTAGTTCCTAGACCTGACTTTAAAAATGACCCCGAAAATAGTGGTTAACAATGTAATTAGTAGTGTTGAGCAATAAAAGTGCGCCAAACTATCCATTGAGCCTGTAGTAATCCTGTACCCGTGCTTTTAATGCATTGTGGGAAGAGTGTGAATAATATATATGGCGGACTGAAAGTGTGCGTTGTTTTTCTGGGAGTGTAAACCGTAATCATCGAGGACCAGTCTGGCGTGCAGGCACTACATTGGGGACGAGGATCACGTTAATGGGACTTCCTAGCAACATGGCGGGAAATAATATCCAACGGCGATAGATATTTCGGGATCAAAATCGGAATTGAACGAGCGATGGCGTGTTTGGGTGTGATGATTCACATATTTCGCCGAAGGGAAAGCAAACCTGCAAAATCCGGCGAGAAAGAGAAGCGAATTACTTTATCGGGCCGGTTCTGGAGTGCAGGATATTTTTGAAAATCTTTCTATTGCTCCCCTTGAAGGTCAAGCCGATGACGTTTATCAACAGACCGTTCGAGCCCTGAACGCAACCTCGTCCCCCAGGGCGCTTTTCCCTGGCTTTGGAGGTGGGGCCCCACCTCCAAAGCCAGGGAAAAGCGCCCTGGGGACGAGGTTGCCCTGAACGCATACTTCCACGTGTAAGAAAACGCAGCGTACGAAAGGCACGTTCTTCGCCAACTATGTCAAGAACCCGGGGAAGATGTGGATTCGTTGTTGCTCCGACTAAGGAAACAAGCGAGGCACTGTGGCTATGGAGTTGAGGAGCTCGAATTTGCAGTGAGAAACCAGCTTCTAGAGAAAGTATCGTTCCAAGAGTTAGAAACCAAGCTATTTGAGGTTCCTAACATACAGCTTGTAGCAGCCTTGACTACAGCCTGAGCGTGGGAAACAGCACCCCGTCAGGTAAACAAAATCGCAGGAGCGGAAAAGAGCAGCGTGAATTTGGTGCAGCGCCGAGCAAGCAAAGGAAAGCCAACTGGACAAAGTCAAGGCATGCACAAGTGCTATACGTGTAGCAGATCTGTGCACTTTGCACGTGACGAGGTGTGTCCTGCGAAGGGAAAGCTGTGTGCTTAGTGTGGCATGAGAGGGCACTGAGCAACGTGTTGCAGGAATGAGGCGGATGGAAAACGGAAATTGTGTAACAGTGATGGAAAAGGAAGTGGGAGTAATAATTGGCGATCCTGTGGTGCTACTAATGGACGTAATTTAAAACCAAGGGGCCAACAAGTTAATCAAGTGGACTACGACAGTGAAGAGGAACCATTTGCCTTCCCAATTAACTACAATGGGGAAAGGGCCTGTGAAGATAGCGTTATTGCAGTGAAGATTAAAGGCATCGTGACAAGGATACCAGTTGACTCTGGAGCACAGTCAACCGTGCTTGGTGAGCAGCAGTTTCATAACCAAGTAAGGAATGGCCTCAAAGCAAATTTAATGCCAGAAGAGAGGTAAATTTGAAGCTACGTACAATTGAATGTCATGGGCAAAAATAGTGGAAACGTTCTCGTAACACAGGGAGAAGGGCGGTGTTTGCTTGGTAGCCTAGCTGCTAAAAAGTTACAGGTGCTGAAAATTAAACCGGATCTGGTGAACGTGACGACAGTTTATTCCATAAGCAGTGATATCAACGGTATTGTGAGACGTTTTCCAAAGGTGTTCTCTGGAGTTGGCAAGTTGTCCGGGTACCAGCTCAAGTTGCACATCAATCATGAAGTTACACCAATAGCACAGAAAGGGAGGTAGATCCCTTACCCTTTGAAAGATAAAGTCCAAAGGAAGATTGACGAGCTTCTAAACCTTGACATCATCGACAAGGTTTCAGGCCCAACAACCTGGGTCAGCACAGCTGTGATAGCTCTCGAGCCAAACAAGGATGATGTGCGTAAATGTGTTGACATGAGGGGTGCCAACGAGGCAGTTCACAGGTAGAAATTGTCGATTCCTACGGTGGATGAGGTGCTGGAGGAGATGAATGGTAGGACGGTTTTCTCAGAGCTTGACATGAACATGGGGTTTCATCAAATTGAACTTGAGGAGGGGTCGAGGGATGTCACAACATCTTCAGCCAGTGATTCATGGTATCGTTACAAGAGGTTGAGTTTTGGTGTGAACAGTGACCCTGAACAGTATCAGAACATTACTTGGCAGACTTTCGCTGATTGCCCTGGTGCCACCAACATAGCTGATGACATCGTTGTATACGGACGGACAACTGAGGAGCATGACAGCAATCTGGTGATATTGCTAGAGCGATTACAGGTCGAGCACCAGACTTCCTTAGTCAAAATTTACAGGTAGACAAGCTCATCAAGACAGAAATGCACGATATAAAAAAGACCTGAATCTACCGAGATGCTGATTAAAAACTAAGCAGCGATCTTTCGCCTTTAGAGGGGCTACTTGTTGGAACAAACTACCCAAAGACATAAAGGAAGTAGCAGATTGCCGAATAGTTAAGAAGAGACTTATAAATACGTTCTTAAAACGACTTTTATCATTTTATTACTTATAATTAGTTGACTACTTTAATAATTTTTCTTGTATCTAGTTAGTTGTTAAATAGTTAACCTACTGTGACTGAAAAGCCCTGTAAAGAGAGTCCCAATAAACGTTTGTATTTATGTATGTAGGAAAGAAACCTAACCCTTAACAAGGATTAATTATGGGACTGCTTCTAAGGGAGCTTGGCGTGGGACCAACAGAGGAAAAGGATAGAGCAGTTCGTGAAACTGAACTAGTGTTGCCGAAGTGCGGAGTTTTCTGGGACTTATCAGTTTCACCTCAAGGTTCTTGTCAAATTTTGCAACAACCGCAGAACCACTACGAAAGTTGACACGACAAGACGCCAAGTGCCAGTGGGGCAAAGAGGAAAATGAAGCATTTGGGGCATAAAAGAAGCAGCTAGCTGAGGCATCAATGATGGCCTTCTGTGACAAGAATGCTTCAACTGAGGTAGTCAGCGATGCGAGCCCAGTCGGACTTTTTGGGGCAATACTAGTGCAGGGGCAGCGGAGAGTGAAGAGAGCAGTTGCATTCGCGAGCCATAGCTTACGTGAGGTTGAGCGTTGTTATAGCCAGACGGAAAAAGAGGCGCAAGCAGTTGTCTCGGGTTGTGGGAGATTCAATCTCTGGATGTTTATCTTTTCTAGGATACCGGGTCCCATTTTTTCCAATCGGAACCGAATAAGAACTCGGACTCGACTGCTTTTATTCGGACACAAACTTAAATCGGATCCGAATGACATGTACCATCAGGCCAGAATATTGCTGACTTCCTAAGTCGGTTGATAAAGATATCTGCTTTATCACACTTTAACAGCACAGCTGAGGAGTATGTGAGGATGGTGGCAATCAGTGCAACCCCACGTGTTATGACAACTAGGGAGATAGAGAGACCGTCGGCTGAGGACGAGGAACTAATCGAACTAATAGCATGAGTTGGAAGAGAGGGGACTGGTCTAGTGCTCCAAACCCCTACAAGGTGCTGCGTGATGAAGTTACTGTGGTTGGAAGGCTGGTAATGAGAGGCATGTGGATTGTGGTGCCGTTGAGTCTGCGTGAGAGGGTGTTAGAGTTAGATTATGAGGGACATCAAGGTATTGTGAAAACAAAAGATCGCCTTCGAAGTAAAGTGTGGTGGCCAACGATGGATGCTATGGTTGAGAGACATTGCAAGAAATGCCTTGTGAGCCAGGCAGTGACCTATGCTACCACTATGCCTACTGTGAAGACAACAACCATGCCAACCAAGCCTTGGAGGGTCCACTGCCAACAGGAGAGAGCTTACTTGTCACTGTTGCTTATTATAGCAGATAGATTGAGGTGGATGTTGTTCAAAACAAAACTAACGGTAGCATCATCAAGTGTCTAGACAAGCACTTCACCCGCCACGGGATTCCAGAGGCATTAAGGACAGACAGTAGGCCAAATCTGGTAAGCCAAGAGATGGAGGAATTCTTAGATGAGCTGGGGATCAAGCATAAGAGGACTATTCCTTTGTGGCCAAGGGCAAACGGAGAGGTGGAGCGATAAAAAAAGTCACTACTTAAGAGAATGCCTGCGTTCCATGCCAAGGGAAACCATGACAACGAGAACTGCAGAAATATCCACTTATGTCCAGAAATGCATGCAATGGCGAAAATGGCGAAACTGGCGAAAAATCACCAGCCTCTGGTGATTTGAATTGGATGCCAAAAGTGGCCCCTTGGAGGCTGGCGATTTTGGTGAAATTGGCGATTTTGGCAAAAATCGCCAGAGGGCTGGCGATATGTGGCAAAATATTCAAATTGGATGCCAAAAGTGGCCCCTTCAAAGTAGATAACTAAAGAGGTCCTTATAACTGTGAGGCAACAGTACTAAAAAAAAGTTCAAATTACTTGCCTAATAAGAGGCCCCAATAACTGTGAGGCAACATTTATTAAATATAACTGAATCAAATATATGACAAAACAGCTTTACCTAACTGTCAAACAACATTATTTTATCAAATACAACTGAATCAAATATATCTGAAAACAACAAATGGAAGTCGTTTCAGTTAAGCTAGATAGATAGATAGATAGATAAGAACTTTATTTTAGCACGATAAAAAGATCAGCATTGCTGGTGGGGTCGTGCATACTAACAATTACAAGAAAAATAAGAAGTACGATTAAAAACTAAAAACTGTTAAAAATGTTTGAAATAGGTCGTGAAAATGTACAATTAAAAATTAAAACTGTTAAAAGTATTCGTAACCGATATCTCTATTTTTGGTAGTAGCTAAGATTGGTTCGAAATGCATTTTATCGGTATCAAATTTTACGAGACAGCGTTTAAATTCTTTCAAGGTTTTGGCCCCTGTTTCCTTGTTCGTTAAAGTGTTCCATGCGATTGCTCCTCTAAAGCGTATGGAGTTCCTGATAAAATTTGTTTCTGGTCTTGGAAGAATGATGTTCTCATTTCTTCTGCAGCCTGAATTCCTCTGTAAAAACAAATTTTTAAATTCCGTGACGGTGTAACCTTTTAAACATTTGAAGACAAACTCCGTTAGTCGCAGTTTGTACATTGTTTCCAAACTATCCCATCCAGTTCGCATTAAGACATCTTCAGCGCTTGTGTCCCATGGCAGCCCATTTACAATCCGTCCAGCCCTTGCATGGAGTTTCTCCAAGTTTTTTTAGGTGTGTCTTGTTGCACGATCCCCACACTGTCAGACCGTATGTAACTGATGGCAATATCACTTTTGTGTAGAAATCTTCTAATTGCTTCTGAGGGAGGAATCGCATGCGTCGGAGTAGACTTAACTTGGATGCGAAGGACTTCGCTACATTTGCAGCATGATCTGACCACGACAACTTGTTATCAACTTGTACTCCGAGGAGTCTTTCTGAGGTTGTCCACTTTATGATGTTGTTGCCAAGGCGCAGAGCTTGGATAGGGCCAGTAAATGTTGATTTGCGCTGCATGATCATTGCTTTGCATTTCTCTGGGTGTGGTACCATCGAATTCCTGTCGCACCATTCCTGGAGTTCAGCTAGAACATTGTTTAATGAGTTTGTTAGCAAATCCATCGTTTCTGCAATACAGTATATTGTTGTGTCGTCTGCATACAGGTAAGTTTCCGCAGAGCGTAGTGATTTTGGGAGGTCGTTTGTGAAGAGGAGAATAACGTGGGTCCGAGGACCGACCCTTGAGGCACTCCGTGAGCTATAATGTGTGTATCGGAGTCGGATCCGTTGATTCTGACGAATTGTCTTCGTTCTGTAAGGTAGTTCTTTAACCACAGCCAGACATCTCCTCTGATTCCAAGGTCGTTCAGCTTTTGTAGCAATATATTGTGCGACACTGTGTCGAAAGCTTTGGTGAAATCCACAAACAGTATTCCCACAAAAAGCTTTCTTTCTACTGCTTCTCTCCACCTCTCAGTTAGGTGTATTAATAACTGTTCTGTTGACTTTCCCTTTCTATAAGCCCATTGTCTGTTATCGAGTAAATTTTGCGTAACCACGTGATTAGTGATATTACTTGCGATGCAGGATTCCATTAATTTACTTGGTATACTGAGCATAGACAGTGGTCTGTAACATGTTCTGTCTTCCTCTCGTCCTTTTTTGAACGCTGCACTGACTCTAGCTATTTTCCACTGGTCTGGTGGCTTGCAGGCATCAACACTGTGTTTAAACACGCTCGTGAGAGATGGGGCAATAGACATACCTGCATACTTTAAAAGACGCGCAGATACGCCATCTGGCCCCGTGGCTTTCTTCACTTTTAACTTACAGATCTTTTCCTCGATTTCCTTCTGACTGATCGTGATGCTGGTCATAATCGGCATGTCCACATTCTCACGGCTATGGGCGTGTAATGGCTGAATTTCATCGGCGGGGCCAATCAATTTTTCAGCAATTGTGCAGAAATAATCGTTTAACATGGTTGCCTTTTCAGTGTCATCCGTTGTAAGGGTTCCATCGTCCTTCTTTAATTGGTGGGCTTGTCTGTTTACTTTTGTTGTTCCTGATGTCTTTTTCAGTAGTTTCCAGTAAGCAGCAGCGGATTTTACTTCATCAATAGATTGGAGTAATAATCGGCTTTGGCTTTTTTCGTCATTGTTGAGACTTTATTTCTAAGTCTTTTATAGTCATCCCATAGCAGTGGATCATTTGATTGACGCGCCGTTTTCAGAGTCTTATATCTTTGATTCATGGTTATTCTAATTTCCTTTGTTATCCAAGGCAGGCTGTTACTGCGTACTTTAATTTGTT